AGGGAGGGAGGGAGGGAGGGAGGGAGGGAACAAAGGGAGGTCACTGCTGGAGATTTAGATCAAGTGAGCTGTGACAGTCTAGAGCAGTTTAGCAAGCATCCTTATGCAATTGGTCTTCAAGCCACGCTTTGATAGTCCCCCTAATCAAGAGAGAAGATTCGAGTGCTGCAAAGACCCAGACCGTGAGATCCACACTCCAGCTTCACTGTGTGCCAGAATAAGACAACAACAAATTTCTTAACCTCTCTGTGTCTGAATGTCTCCATTTACTTAGAATAATCCCTCTACCTGATTGGAAAGACCAAATGATCTGAGAAATTGTACTGTACACATACATGCAAGAAATGCCTGCACTCTGGTGTTTAATAAACTGCTTAATCGGTGTGGGGGGGGGCTGTGTTGATTAGACTGTATTTAACAGGAAGGAAATGGAGAATTACATTTTAGGAAGAGTGGTGTGTGGCCAAACTATCACAGGGGTTATTCTTAATTTCTGGTTGACCTGTGAAATTCCCGTATTCTGACTGACCCCTTTTTCACGCCTCATCAACCGTAGCTAATGTGCGCTTACGAGGAGATTCTTGGCCAAAGCAGAGGCTTTGACACTCGGAAAAATTAATAATTGGCTCAAGATTATTTCTTTTATGATGTCATTCCTGTGACCTTCAGGGTCTCTTCTGTGTGTGTGACTGAGACTGTTGAATTAAGAGTGGCAGGGCTGTGTCCCCGGCACCCAGCCGCCCGCATGGCTAGGTTATGCCCCGAAATAATTACACGGAAACTGTATTTTTTTAAACATTGCCTGGCCCGGCTAGTTCCAGCCTCTTATTGGCTAGCTCTTACATATTGTTCTAACCCATTTCTAATATTCTGTGTAGCCCACGAAGTGGCTTACCAGGGAGGATCTTAACCTGTGTCTGTCTGGAGTGGGAGAATCATGGCAACTCCTTGACTCAGCTTCTTTTTCCCAGATTCTGTTCTGTTTACTCCACCCACCTATGGGTTGGCCTATCAAGGGGCCTAGGCAGTTTCTTTATTAATAAGAAATCACTCCCACATCATTTCCCCTTTTTCTGTTTAAACAAAAAAGAAAGGCTTT